TTTCCAGTGAGAATAGCCTGTACTGTATTATGGGTGATAGTCAAGTGGTTGCAGCGTTTAGATCTTCGCACTAAAAGTCTGGGTTTGATTCCCCACATAGGTACAGTGTTTGAATTCCATTTCTGGTGTTCCACACAACCGTATTGCTGAAATGTTTCAAACAGCAGCATGAAACAGTACTCACTATTGTGTCATGTACTCCTCCTGTCACCCAAGTCACACATGGTGTATGTGACTGTATATTTCAAGTACTTGAACAATATTAAATGTGGAGTTAATCTTCTCAACTCTTATTTTGATTGGTTGCTTGTTCCTACGGTTTTACTGAGTTTGGCTCATTAGGTGATGGTGGTATGTCTGTGTCTTGTGTATACAAGTCCTCTGACAGTTTGTACAAAGAACAGACAGATGGGATTGATTCATCTATAACATCCGGAAACAACGCTACCCATTAATGATACTGTTCTTATTTCTGAAAAATAGTGATTGTTTTTACTAAAGAGGTTGTTCTGTGACCTTTACCTATCTTCACACAACAATATTGCTGTCAGACCTGTCACTGAGTTTGACAACTGAATGAAGCACTGATAACATAAATGTGAGTTGTCTCCCTTAGACCATAGCTACCTTGGTCTCTTCTCAGAGGTTGAGCAGATAGAAGTCTGCGATTTTGAAACCAATAGGTAATATTTATTCCACATATCTGGAATGAATAGCCTATTCAGGAATATTACCTAATTGTGAGCAGGTCAGTCACACTGATTAGTCCGAAATGACAATTATCTGACTGGTGACAAAATGTTGGTGTTATGATTATAGGTGTGTGTTGCTTTGACCTCTCCTGACATGATGTGACTCATCCTATTAAAGGGACTCTGATCTCTGGCGATTTGTAACTTCTTCCTGTCGATACCTGGATGATATCACGGAAATCTGGACTAATTCACAACATCTACTGTGTAGTTAAAGTGCTTTTCTTTCTTGATAGTATGAGACCTGTAAAGATCCAGGGTAGAATAGGTCTTCAGCAACCCATGCTTGCCACAAAAGGCAACTATGCTTGTCGTAAGAGGCGACTATCGGGATCGGGTGGTGAGGCTCGCTGACTTGGTTGACACATGTCATAGATTCCCCATTGCGCAGATCGATGCTCATGCTGTTGATCACTGGATTGTCTGGTCCAGACTCCATTATTTACAGACCGCCGCCATATAGCTGGAATATTGCTGAGTGCGGCGTAAAACTAAACTCACTCACTCTTGATAGTATGAGGGCATATCTTCACATTGGTAAAAAAATGGAGAAAAGGTTTTACTTGGTGTAAACATGGTGAAGAAATGAAGGCATCTTTGGCATCTTTAGAGGTCATACGCGGGTTTGATAAGTCACTTGCTTGGTATTCTGCTCTACTTGTTTACACTATTTTGAAGTTGTATTACAAACTAATGAGTTCAAATGAGAGTTGCCAATCATATTGTGTGTAGACACAATTAAAAACAAAAGGCTTGTGAAAACATGGCTAATTCTTGGTTCTCAAGCACTGTTGCATCATCATACAGTTCGCTGCATGTTCTGCTTTCATGTCCATTTTAAGCATTACTGTTACGCATTACTCTCGTACAGAGTTGTCAGGCTGTTTCTGATTTTATGTGCTCATGATATGGTCTTTGCTTTGTGCTCATGATATGGTCTTTGCTTTGTGCTCATGATATGGTCTTTGCTTTGTGCTCATGATATCATCTCTGCTTATGTGCTCATGATATGGTCTTTGCTTTGTGCACATGATATGGTCTTTGCTTTGTGCTCATGATATGGTCTTTGCTTTGTGCTCATGATATGGTCTTTGCTTTGTGCTCATGATATCATCTCTGCTTATGTGCTCATGATATGGTCTTTGCTTTGTGCTCTTGATATGGTCTTTGCTTTGTGCTCATGATATGGTCTTTGCTTTGTGCTCATGATATCATCTCTGCTTATGTGCTCATGAGATCGTCTTTGCTTTGTGCTCATGATATGGTCTTTGCTTTGTGCTCATGATATGGTCTTTGCTTTGTGCTCATGATATGGTCTTTGCTTTGTGCTCATGATATCATCTCTGCTTATGTGCTCATGATATGGTCTTTGCTTTGTGCTCATGATATCATCTCTGCTTATGTGCTCATGATATGGTCTTTGCTTATGTGCTCATGATATATTGTCTTTGCTTTGTGCTCATGATATCGTCTTTGCTTATGTGCTCATGAGATCGTCTTTGCTTTGTGAAAATCTTGTTTGGGTGTTCTGCGCACTTTGGTAGCAAAGGACTGTATTCTTTAATACCCTGAAATCTTTTTTCTGTAATGTTGAAAGTAATATAAATATTCAGTGGTATTTTCAGATGTTTTCATGATCACATTATATGGAATAATAATATTGTGATTGTACAGTTATGTGAAGAAAGTTGATAGTAATTTTCTGGATATTAATAAAATGGTGACGGTGACCATGAAGATGTATGTGCGTCTGCTGTTAAAGCACACACAGCTGGTTAACATAGTTTTGTGCTCTTGATAGCATGCACTGTAGATATACACAGTAACACTGGATATCTTGAAGTTGAGTTCTGTGACTCTGAAAGTTCTCCTGCCTGTTTGTCTGCCATGGTGACCACAATAAGCTGCTTCAAACTGAACAAAGGGCCAGAGTTACCAGTATTGTACTGATCAGGCAACAAGTTATGACGGGAGACAGGTGTCAAGTGTCAATCTTTACATGACATCGTACACATGACAAATAATGTCCTTGATTTTTTCATTAAGCGGTACAGTTATCTATCAATTTACATATTATTTGCTAAACCTTTGAACAAAGTATGTAGCTTTCATTCGGGCACCTTAGTCAAAATGTAGGTATATTTGGTCACCTTTAGTAGGCCAACAAATCAAGACATTGTGACAAATCATTTTGCCAAATAACAGTGATGAAACAATCAGCATGTTTAAGTTCAGCCTTTAAAGGTCACATGCAACGCAAAACACAACAGTAATAAAAATAAACGTGGTCCCATACTTTTCTTATATGTTTTGACAACTTGCTTTTTGGGGTTGGCAGATTTGCAAACCAAGCTTTCAAGAAAGTGTAGCATTAGAAATACTAATTTGTTTGTTAAAAATTGCTCAGCTTGAAAACTGAAATGTTTTAATATGTGTCTATGGAAACATAGAAAAATATGTTGATTGTGATATTGACACCTGTGTGTCTGCCTGCCTGTCTGCTAATGACAATATGCAATACACAACTTCAATCATTGACCACATGCAATTTGAATTTGAAACGTATCAGGCTATACACCATAAACAAAACACATTGATTTATGGCTCATGCACCTGAGTTCTGTCTCTGTCACATTATGTAATTACACAGACAGGCAGGTGTAATCTGCACATTGCCCCCTGTTACCTGCATGTTGCCCCTGTTACCCGCACATTGCCCCTTGTTACCTGCACGTTGCCCCCTGTTACCTGCATGTTGCCTCCTGTTACCTGCACATTGCCCCCCTGTTACCTGCACATTGCCCCCGTTACCTGCACATTGCCCCCCTGTTACCTGCACATTGCCCCCTGTTACCTGCACGTTGCTGCCTGTTACCTGCATGTTGCTGCCTGTTACCTGCACATTGCCCCCTGTTACCTGCACATTGCCCCCTGTTACCTGCACATTGCCCCGTGTTACCTGCATGTTGCTGCCTGTTACCTGCACGTTGTCCCTTGTTACCTGTATGTTGCCCCTTGTTACCTGTATGTTGCCCCTGTTACCTGCATGTTGCCCCTGTTACCTGCACATTGCCCCCTGTAACCTGCACATTGCCCCCTGTAACCTGCACATTGCCCCTTGTTACCTGCACATTGCCCCTTGTTTCCTGCACATTGCCCCTTGTTTCCTGCACATTGCCCCTTGTTACCTGCACATTTCCCCCTGTAACCTGCACATTGCCCCGATACCTGCAGATTGCCCCGTTACTTGCATGTTGTCCTTGTTACCTGCACATTGCCCCTTGTTTCCTGCACATTGCTCCCCGTTACCTGCACATTGCCCCCTGTTACCTGCACATTGCCCCCGTTACCTGCACATTGCGCAGTTACTTGCATGTTGTCCTTGTTACCTGCACATTGCCCCTTGTTTCCTGCACATTGCCCCTTGTTACCTGCACATTACCCCCTGTTACCTGCATGTTGCTCCCTGTTACTTGCACGTTGTCCCTTGTTAAATGTTACCTGTATGTTGCCCCTGTTACCTGCATGTTGCCCCCGTTACCTGCATGTTGCCCCTATAACCTGCATGTTGCCCCTGTTACCTGCATGTTGCCCCTATAACCTGCATGTTGCCCCTGTTACCTGCACATTGATCTCATTACCCGCATGTTGTCCCCTGTTACCAGCACGTTAGAATGAACCTTCAGTAACCCATGCTTGTCGTAAGAGGTGACTAATGGGATCGGGTGGTCAGACTTGCTGGCTTGGTTAACACATGTCATCGGTTCCCCATTGCGCAGATCGATGCTCATGCTGTTGATCACTGGATTGTCTGGTCCAGACTCAATTATTTACAGACCGCCATATAACTGGAATATTGCTGAGTGCGGCGTAAAACTAAACTCACTCACTTATCAGTTGTGTTTCTTGTGCAGGCACTGGAGCAGTCCTTGGTGACTGATATATTTTATGAGTGCTTCCAGTACTGTTATTAGTGTTATGAGGCAGTGACCTCGCATGCAGTGTGTGTTTACTTTTAGACTCTCCGATGCTCAAGCCATATAATTTGGGATTTGTATATAATCACGTCTGAACCAGGCAATCTAGTGATTGACTTCATGAGTAAATTGGGATACAATGATATTCATCACCAAGCAAGTCTAACCACCTGATCCCATCAGTTGCCGCTTGTGATTTGCTGAAATCTAGCTCCGATCTGCTCCAGTGTGCCTGCAGTGAGAGGTTCTAGGTCCGATCTGCTCCGGTGTGCCTGCAGTGAGAGGTTGTAGTTCCGGTCTGCTTCGGTGTGCATGCAGTGAGAGGTTCTAGCTCCGATCTGCTCTGGTGTGCATGCAGTGAGAGGTTCTAGCTCAGATCTGCTCCGGTGTGCCTGCAGTGAGAGGTTCTAGCTCTGATCTGCTCTGGTGTGCCTGCAGTGAGAGGTTCTAGCTCTGATCTGCTCCGGTGTGCCTGCAGTGAGAGGTTCTAGCTCCGATCTGCTCTGGTGTGCCTGCAGTGAGAGGTTCTAGCTCTGATCTGCTCCGGTGTGCATGCAGTGAGAGGTTCTAGCTCCGATCTGCTCCGGTGTGCATGCAGTGAGAGGTTCTAGCTCCGATCTGCTCCGGTGTGCCTGCAGTGAGAGGTTGTAGGAACTTGGGATGGACATGTTGAGAGCAGGGATTGTTGAATCTGGACTGTCTGTATTGATGCAGCGGATGTTCCATGTTGACTGGGGACTGTAAGCCTGTGTCTCTATTGATGCAGCGGATGTTCCATGTTGACTGGGGACTGTAAGCCTGTGTAATCCTTGTCTCACAGTGAACTTGGGGCTGTCTGGCCTCAGTCCAGCAGATTCCAACCCACAAGCTGTGATTACACAATGCCATTTAGAAAGTGGTCAAATGTAACATATGTTATATTTGGGATTACACTTTCTTAGTAAAGTACAAATTCTAGTACTGATATTAAACTTATGTTTGTGTCAATGGCACATGAATCTGCTAGGGATGCCACGATACATCGATGCATCAATACTTTTTCTAAGACAATACAATTATCGATACAACCAAAACTCTATCAATATTTAGTTTCGAAAGTATCGGATTAAATATGTTTTTGTATTGTTTACATTTTGTAATTGTATCATGTTTTTTTATGTTATGAGAGTTATAAATGATTATTTTCATGCACAAAGATGGGAAATTAGTACTTTTTAATCTGAGAATAAAAAATGTTGATCTTTTCATGGACAAATATGAAATATTAATGTTCAAAATGTATCTAAATTAATGCAATAATGTCGCGAAAATAGGTATCATGATACATATCGAATCGTGACATGGGTATCGTGATACGTTTTGTTTCATGAAACTTATGTATCGTGACATCCCTAGAATCTGGGCTGTTTACATCAGGTGCCAGTGTGGCAAGGTAGAATACTTTCCACCAGAGCCGTGTGTTTCAGGGCAGAGTATATGCCTTCTAAAAATGTCTCTCCAAATAACAGGATACTTCCTCCTGTGAGGTGATGAATATTTCCCCCTGTGACTGGAGACATGGAGGTACACTTGAGTACAATCTTCCTCAACAGTTTGGGTGATTCACATTTCCCGAAACAAGCTTGTTTGATCATCAGATCATCAAAATGTGATCTGAGTTACAACTCCTTGTCTTTGACCTGTATAAGGAAATGTTATTATTGCCGGGAATATGACACCTCAAAGCAGATGATGACGGACAGGAAACCCTGAAACTCATTCCCTTGCAGTTTCAGGTAGGTCAGAGTTACTTCCCTTTGACCACTAGAAAGCCGATCAGGACTTTCATCTGAAGTCAGTTCAAATTAATGAGATTCTGCTTGCATACTCACAAATCAGGATTTGAATGTTCCAACTTGGGATGGGCTTGATCCTCATGCAGATGTTTGAAGCCTTGTTCAGCAGGATGCTGGCCTACTTTTCAGCTCAGATGATGACACCATAACATGACAGCACAGTCTGTTTTCTGTCAGTTACCGTGATTCAGTATTTTGCCAGGCTGAAACTATGTCCACTGAAGACACCAAACCATGTGTGTCCCAGCCATTTCAGTGACTTGTTACCTGTTGTAGCTTTCACTAGTACTTGAAAGATAATCATGACAGCTCAGGTTGAATTGATAGTATCTATGGCAGTCTGGCTCACAATGATGACAACTGAATTAGGGGAGCTATTCTATGATCACATTCTCTGCTCAAGCTTGACAGGGTGTTTAGGTAGATTCATTTCATATAATAATATACGCATGGAAACGAATAAGGGAACACATGAAAATACAAGTGTTCCTTTATTTATCATGTTTATTTCTAGAATTTTACTCACAGTGCAATAATACATTGTGGAGAAACCTGGAAAAGAATTAAGGAACAATTGTACTTTCACGTGTTCCCTTATTGGTTTCCATGCATATATGCTATGCTGAAAGGGAGGAATCGTAAGGAAATGCACTTGAAGTCACTGTCAGTTAATGGTGATGGACATGAATATTGTAGTATTTATATATGTGCTCTTTTAGCATACTAGTGTTTAAGTTTCATAAACAGTTTTCAGGCTCATGATGTAAATGTACTCAAGTTATATTAGTAGTTCTGAAGATTGTATTTTTATATTTATAGCTTCTAAAGTTTAATCAACATTTCTGAGGATTGTGTTATGGTGTAACTAGATTTTATATTTGAATGGTTAAACACTTAAACTTGATTACCAAGTTTTTATGTGCTTCTTTCCCAAGACAGGTCCAGTTATCTCCCTTTGATCAAGTCGCTGATAGTGTGATGTGACTTGTGTTAGAAAATGGAGAGAGATTTGAAAGTATGAACTGCTCAAGTTCATTGAGCAGAGTGTCAGTCATGGCCATTGATTTGTGTTATTACCAAACTTTCAGTTCATTGTAAACTGTATTTTTCTTTTTTTGATCAAAATCCTATTCTTGCAGTGCACATGCCTTCAAGTTGATTACAGAGTTTGAAAAATATATTTGCACTTTGTGTTTATTGGAGTATGAAAGTTTGTAAATTGAAGTCCAAGTTATATATTTGAGTCAGAACTTGCAACACATTCCAACTAAAAGCCAATTCATATAATATTCTTTATTACACTATTCTTTACCAGTATAAAGTAAATTTGTTTACAGATGTTGACTGACACTGTAGTTTGGATCTGTTCACAATGACAGGTTGCAGCAAGGATAGTTGTGAACGGACATACAGCTGAGTCTCATTCATTCAGTCTTCATTCATACGCTGATGAATATCAGATAATGTTCATATGACTGGACTTCTGTTGACTGGAACAGACTATGTCATGTAAACGTCTCATGATACAGCAAACTTTTTGGAAGGTGTTTATGGAAGAAGTAATGTTGCTGATGTTGCTGAGGTGCTGGAGAAGATGATGTTGGTGATTCTGTTGTTGACATGTTGATGTGATATGATGACAGGAGGAATGAAGAAGTGTTTTGCCGGCATCTTGAATGTCCACCAAGAGGACTGATGTGGGACTGCAGCAGCAGTGATTGTCATGGAAACAGAAAACTTCATCCTGGCCGGAAACAGAAGTAACTTCTGTCCCATGATTCCTTGTCATTGATCAACGACATACAGTATATACATTGTGGCCGTGTCATCTTGTGTCATACAATTCCCCTGACTGGATATCTATAATAGGTACAAGGTTCTCTTGCATCTGCTCACTCTTGACTTCAACATTCGCCATCCGGTGTTAACAAGTAAAATTATCGGAAGTCCATTATTTTACACAAATACACAGTTGTGGAGATGTCACAGTGTTTCATGTTTGAATTGAAAGAGTAATGAACATGAAATCTAGTTTATCAAACGTTACAGAGATTGGCCTGTTTCAGGTGAAGAATGTCACGTGTAATTCATGAAGGCGGCACTGTCTATAGTGTTCGATGCAAAATGCGGTAATAGGTCTCCTCAAGCACCACTCTGTTTTGACATATTTGTCAGTGCTTTCAGAGCAAGTAAGGTGAAAATGTTCACATCCCAAAGGAGCTCCTTTGTTGAAGTTTCCTGGTCTTTGTGACAGTCTCTGTGCCCCCCTCCTCTCTGTTTCACAAGGAAAGGGGGCTTCTATACAATTATTTGTCCTCACTTGGTTTACCGTGAAAAGAAAATGGATAAATAAAACACGTGCACTGTGTTGGTGTTGAGTTGGTCGTTGTCTAGCAACTTGGAAAGCCAGGAAGCATGCACATTCTTTCGAACACATAATTTTCTGTGTCACTACAGTAGCCATGCTACACCACCGTCTCAGTAGCCATGCCACACCACCATCTCAGTAGCCATGCCACACCACCATCTCAGTAGCTATGCCACACCACTGTCTCAGTAGCTATGCCACACCATCTCAGTAGCCATGCCACATCACCATCTCAGTAGCTATGCCACACCATCTCAGTAACCATGCTACACCACTGTCTCAGTAGCCATGCCACACCACCGTCTCAGTAAACAATGCTACACCACCATCTCAATAGCCATGCCACACCACCGTCTCAGTAGCCATGCCACACCACCAACTCAGTAGCCATGCCACACCACCATCGCAGTAACCATGCCACACCACCATCTCAGTAGCCATGCCACACCACCATCTCAGTAACCATGCCACACCACCATCTCAGTAACCATGCCATACCACTGTCTCAGTAACCATGCTACACCACCATCTCAGTAGCCATGCCACACCACCGTCTCAGTAGCCATGCCACACCACCATCTCAGTAACCATGCCACACCACCGTCTCAGTAGCCATGCCACACCACCATCTCAGTAACCATGCCACACCACCGTCTCAGTAGCCATGCCACACCATCTCAGTAGCCATGCCACACCACCGTCTCAGTAGCCATGCCACACCACCGTCTCAGTAACCATGCCACACCACCGTCTCAGTAACCATGCCACACCACCCTCTCAGTAGCCATGCCACACCACTGTCTCAGTAGCCATGCCACACCACCATCTCAGTAGCCATGCCACACCACCATCTCAGTAACCATGCCATACCACTGTCTCAGTAACCATGCTACACCACCATCTCAGTAGCCATGCCACACCACCGTCTCAGTAGCCATGCCACACCACCGTCTCAGTAGCCATGCCACACCACCATCTCAGTAACCATGCCACACCACCATCTCAGTAGCAATGCTACACCACGGTCTCAGTAGCCATGCCACACCACCATCTCAGTAGCCATGCTACACCACCATCTCAGTAACCATGCCACACCACCATCTCAGTAGCCATGCCACACCACCGTCTCAGTAGCCATGCCACACCACCATCTCAGTAACCATGCCACACCACCGTCTCAGTAACCATGCCACACCACCATCTCAGTAGCCATGCCACACCACCATCTCAGTAGCCATGCCACACCACCATCTCAGTAACCATGCCACACCACCGTCTCAGTAGCCATGCCACACCACCATCTCAGTAACCATGCCACACCACCGTCTCAGTAACCATGCCACACCACCATCTCAGTAGCCATGCCACACCACCATATCAGTAGCCATGCCACACGCACCACCATCTCAGTAACCATGCCACACCACCGTCTCAGTAACCATGCCACACCACCGTCTCAGTAGCCATGCCACACCACCGTCTCAGTAGCCATGCCACACCACCATCTCAGTAGCCATGCCACACCATCTCAGTAGCCATGCCACACCACCGTCTCAGTAGCCATACCACCGTCTCAGTAGCCATGCCACACCACCATCTCAGTAGCCATGCCACACCATCTCAGTAGCCATGCCACACCACCATCTCAGTAGCCATGCCACACCACCAACTCAGTGGCCATGCCACACCACCGTCTCAGTAGCCATGCCACCATCTCAGTAGCCATGTCACACCACCGTCTCAGTAGCCATGCCACACCACCGTCTCAGTGGCCATGCCACACCACCGTCTCAGTAGCCATACCACCGTCTCAGTAGCCATGCCACACCACCATCTCAGTAGCCATGCCACACCATCTCAGTAGCCATGCCACACCACCATCTCAGTAGCCATGCCACACCACCATCTCAGTGGCCATGCCACACCACCGTCTCAGTAGCCATGCCACACCACCGTCTCAGTAGCCATACCACCGTCTCAGTAGCCATGCCACACCACCATCTCAGTAGCCATGCCACACCATCTCAGTAGCCATGCCACACCACCATCTCAGTAGCCATGCCACACCACCATCTCAGTAGCCATGCCACACCACCATCTCAGTGGCCATGCCACCACCACCACCACTGCCTCAGTAGCCATACCACCACCTCAGTAGCCATGCCACACCACCGTCTCAGTAGCCATGCCACACCACCATCTCAGTAGCCATGCCACACCATCTCAGTAGCCATGCCACACCACCATCTCAGTGGCCATACCACCGTCTCAGTAGCCATGCCGCCGTCTCAGTAGCCATGCCACACCACCGTCTCACTAGCCATGCCACACCACCATCTCAGTAGCCATGCCACCATCTCAGTAGCCATGCCACACCACCGTCTCAGTAGCCATGCCACACCACTATCTCAGTAGCCATGCCACGTCTCAGTAGCCATGCCACACCACTATTTCAGTAGCCATGCCACCATCTCAGTAGCCATGCCACACCACTGTCTCAGTAGCCATGCCACACCACCATCTCAGTAGCCATGCCACACCACCGTCTCAGGTCCTTCAACAACACGGGGACATCTGTTAGATACATGAGCTCTTCATCACTGGATTTGTTTTGCGTGAGGGGGGGTGTAAATAAGCTAGTTTACTAGGTATCTGGATGAGCTTGTTGCCTGAAATACTATTTATCTAGATGGAGTGGATGTCTGATTACTGGGTGTTTGATTACTGGTGTCTATCGAGGCTGGGTGTCTTATTACTGGGTGTCTAGAGAGGCTGGTGTCTTATTACTGGGTGTCTAGATGGGCTGGGTGTCTGATTATTGGGTGTCTATGGGATGGTGTCTAGAGAAGCTGAATATCTGATTACTGGGTGTCTAGTGAGGTTGGGTGTCTGCTTATTGGGTGTCTAGATGGGCTGGGTATCTGATTACTGGGTGTCTAGAGAGGCTTGATGTCTGATTACTGGGTGTTGAGACGAGATGGG